TACTACAAAATATTCTCTAAAATCATTATACCCATCAGGTACAGTGACTCCTTTGACTGTGATACCAAATGCCAATTCACAAACATTTATAGAGCAGATCTGAGCGCACATTAGAAATCAGCAACTGAAAATCTGTTTTGCTTACCTTGCCACCAGTAATGTGTTACTTAGTGCTGTAACTCCATTTCCTTCTTGAATATGCTTAGGAAGCAGGGACACTTTTGTCTCTAGGGTAAAAAGAGCTTAACATCCCCAACAGCGCTCGGTCTTTTGCTTCCCTTCCTCTTGGTGCTCCCAAGTGTCACAGTCCCTGCAAAAACAACTGAACTTCCCTCCATGGCCATCTTCAGTTACTTGTTAAAAAAGGAAGCACCTATGAATCTTTAATAGGAAGAAACAAATGCCAAAGGAATAGCAAAGTCTAACCAAAGACAAACTTTTAACTGAAATTTTCTGACCAAACTAATCTTAACCAAGAACGCACGTTTTCTGGAACGGTAGAGCCCTAAAATTGCAAGTGCTCACTGCATATGCTGCCAGGTAAAGTCTTACTGAGCTCAACACAGCCTGACCTGTGATACGAAGCACTGCAAGGTGGCAGAAAAGGGGAACAGATTAAACCCTTTATCCTATAATTATGTACTCTGGTAGTGTCCAGGCATCGTTATCACAGTCCGAGCTTTTTATGACGAGTGCAACGCAGGCACAAACAATTCTTGCACCTCAAATGCTGCCAACCTGCACTCCTCACCCTTACAATGGATGTTAAAAAAAAAGCTGTGTACTTGCACAGATCTTGCAAAAGTAGTTGCGAAGACGACATGCGATATATGCTAAATTAGAGAAAAGAATCACACGTGACCACCTAGGCATCAGTCCTGGTGTAAATGCCTAACGAAGAGCTCCTCTCCCCAACGCTACCCGAGTGCTTGGCACGACAACGTGCTGCCTACAGACCCCGCGGCAGGCGCGCTCTGCTTCCCGGGCTGCTTCCCAGCCACATCCCAGTGCCGGTGAAGGAGGAAAAGGCACAAATTACAAAGTTACGGAGAAGGTGCTTATGCCATCCAGCAAGACAACTACTGTGCGTTGTACCTGGTCAGAAGCATTTTGCATCGTCTCAGAAATCAAGCGGTGTGTCTACAAAATCGTAAGCTGTGAGGCGGGAGAGAGGGACAGAGAAGCTAAGGGACATCACCTCCACAGAAATCCCTAGATGAGCCAAGCCCCCCTCCTCCTCCACCTCAGAGACATCATCTCCAGTGAATTTTGTTGCAAAATTCAAGTTTGTGTAACAAGCACGAGGAAAAAATTGTTATCTCAGCCTCAAAGGAGCAAATTTAGCATTGCCTGTACTTCTACTCTTTTTAGAGAAGACCAGAAACTTGGGGTTCTGTATCTTTAAAAAGCAAAGCCCAAGATGGTATAAAATTCATCCCAAGACTAAGCGAAGAAGAGGGGAAAAAGAACAATTGGTGTGGACAAGGTTAGTGAATTCTTTGTCGTAAATTAAATTTACGCAGCGTATTAAGCTTCAGTATTTGAAGGTGGATTTTTTTTCTTTCAGACTGTTTTAAAATGACATCTAATGAGGAACGAGGACAAAGAAGCTGGCCTTAAAATCGAACTTGACAGATTTATGACCAACATTATACAGTACTTTTTAATTTCTGCAACAGTAAGCCAAACTTGATGACCCAGGAGCATCTTTTCAGTCCTATTTTTTAGCACCAAGGTTGCTGCTAGGAAGTTCCTGAAGCGCATTTCCTACTCATCTCTTGAAAGCAATATCTGCCCAGGGGAGGATGAGGAAAACCAAAACAGTGGAGTGAAAAAATGACAAAGTGAACAAATGCACTGCATCCTTATGCAAAGCTAGAAGAGTTCCCACAGCTCACAGGTAGAAGTGGCCTGCAAAACCTTTTTCAGGGGGCACTGGCTAGTCCTGTGGGAGGATGAGCCAGGCTGAGCACAGCAAAGCAATATTCTCAAGCAGAACAGCCGGTGCCTACTCCAAAGATAAGCGATAATCACTGCTGTGCCAAATGTGGTTGTTAGTATCTCACACATAAGTTACATTTATTTTATCTCCCCTTCAGAATGGAATAATCTAAAACTTAGATTTGCGGCAAGCTTGTCTAGATAACCTTTTTCATTCCCCAGCCAATTCAGAGAAACACAGAGTCTCTTCGTAAAATAAAGAGGTCAGATAACACACGCAGAATAAATAAGGCATGTCTTGCCTTGACATTAGAGTGAAAATCCGAGAAGAACATTAAGAAGGAACAGTTCAGTGGTAATCTAGATAAGATTATATGAAAAGATAGCGCTTAATCAAGGCTGATACTATCTCATCTTACTGTTTGGATAAATAAAAGTTCTGACACCAGAACAGTGCGAAGTTTCATACTTACCACTTTATGTCAACTCAAGATAAAGCTTACATTGAGCTGGGCACCTGGCACATCTTACAGACTTTTGAACAAAACTTTTTACCAGTATTAAAACAAGAAGCTTCTAACCAGAAATAAGTCAATCTAAGCTTTTCTTCATTTCTTTATAGGCTGAGAAAGATCAAAACAAGTGATTAAGACATTTCTTTGCTTCATTAACAAATATACAAAGTTTTATTTTATTTATTAGATCGGTTTTCTGTATGTTAACATTATCATATCAATTATAACCGACATTCACAGCAGCAATTTTCAGATAGCATTTTGCAACACTAACTGCTGTACTGGAAATCCTTAAGAGAAACTATCTTTAGCTAGTCAGGTAACTTGAATAATAAAGTGCAAAACCACAATAAAATTTGACAGACATATGCCCCAGCTCATACTCAGTGGAAAATAAAGTTTGTAAGACCACTGGATATGGATTCACTGCCCACAACAGAAGAGTGTGACCTGAAGACATCAGTTTTCAAGTTTGCCCATTACCAGACATCGATTACAATGAATAATTTTCCATTACTTTTAAGAGTAACAAAAAGAAATCACAACAAGGTTACAAATAAACCAAAACATATTGGCCAGACTACCTGAAACTTAGCCCTATACTTGGTACCTTTTACCCAATAAAGGTTTTAGGAAGAACTGATGAACAGAACAGTTAATTTCTTGATAGCCTCTTTGATTTTAACTTCAAGGAATCAATTAGCAAGACATAACACAGCATCTTGTTTGGGACCCAAGTCATAACATTGGGGTTTTTTTTAACTACACCTGCAGATAACATGACATCATTCAACTAATAACTAACACATTGTCCCTCTCAATCCAAGAAGATAGAAAAACCTCAGAATTTTATTGGAATTAAGTCCAATGCACAAAGTATAACCTGAGCTTTCCTCTCCCTCCTCACAGCCACTGGTGCAGTCTCCCCAGTACCAAACACTCTTTTCAAGACAAATGAAGTATCAGACACTCTGGGTGCCTTTCCCTTTCTTCTACCTAAATAATTAGTTTTCAGTAAGTCCTTTGGTGCCACAACGTAAGTGAACATCATCCGCGAGGAGGATGTCTACTCAGCCTTTTTACTTACAGAATTAAAAGATGCAAATCAAATACTACTCTAAATTAGTCAGGCTGCCTCCTTTGTAACTGCTAACATTGCTTCTCTTCTACAACTTTCCAAGAAATGACAGTGTAGCACGCCAAGCTTTAATAAATAACAAAAAATTTTAACTATAAATTGTATGTGTATCCCTTTGTCATGTTACCAAGCTCAATTTGCTAGTAAATGCAACACACCACTGTCAAAACAGAAAACAGCCTGAACAGCAAGCTTTAAGGACCACGTCCTGTTTATAGCTTTATGTAGCTAACAAATTCACAACATACATTCCCAAGAACTCATTTTTACATAATACTCTCCTTCACATTATGTTTCACTACAGTCAGTGCTTTCATCAAGGAAACATTTCCATGTGCAGATATACAGCAGAACATCCAGCGCTATTTTGGAGGGCTGCAGATACCATTTTCTCCTTTTAGATCATTTAAGCAGATAACCAAATTCAAAGACCCAGCTGTTGAACTCTGGATAAGGCACTTGCCCCAAATGAGCAATACAGCACCAGGCCAGTGTGCAAGAAATGTCTGGCTGTACCTTTTCTTCATCGTTTATACCTAAACAAGGAATAGTTCTGTAGCAATTGTGCTCTTTCAGTCTGAAGCAATCCTCCTGCAACAGCTTGTGCAGCTTTATAAACTGCTTCACATTCTTCCTTAAACTTACTAGTTATGGCCATGTAAATATTTTGAAGACTTTCACAACCTTATTCTATAACAATTCTATTTCAAAATAAACTCAAGGTGCACTTCAAAGGGGCATACGAGATACAACTTGTGAAATATTACCATGAAATCACAATGATAAAAATTGAATCCGTCCATCAGCAGTTCTTAACCTTATCTACATAGACAAGTTGTTTTTTTTTTTTTCAATCAAGGTCTCACATGATTTCAGTCCCTGAAAAAAGTTGCCTTACGGCATGCATAGTATAGACATCACTAGTGCTACCTGGAAGAGTTCTATCTTCTCTCCTCCTCCCTCCCAAAAGGGTACCAATATAAAACCCAGTTATCTTAATATTTTAAATTCATCCTTTGCTGCATAGTCAGCTGCATATATTTAAAGTAATTCTCTGCACAAAACCTCAGAGTATTGTAGGAGTAAAAACCTATTAACTCACCACCAACAGAAGATTAAAAAAGAAGTGGGATTTAGTTCCTATCAAAAACAAAAGCACACCTTACTTCTGGCGTTCTTTATTATTTTGCCAAAGACATTTAGATAGAATATTCTAATATTCTGGTCTAGTATTAGGTCACAGCCAAAAATCTCAGCTTTAAGGAAAAACCTTAATTTTCTACTGATTTGAACTGCCAGTAGCTTTAAGCACCCAAACAACTTTAATTTTTCCATTTAATGAATGTTCTGCAGTTCTAGAAAGATGAGTTATGCATTGTTGTTCACATACAAAAAGACAGTCTAACATGTAAACTATTTATTGAATATTTGCCACCAATATTGTTAAATACATAATCTTGCAATTTTCCGCTTTCAAGTTAAAATGTCAGAAACAGAACACCAAGTATTTACAATTCTTATAAGGAATGTTACATAATGACACATTAAGGCGTAAATTCTTTTGGCTTATAATTCTGAAAAGAATGATAATAGCAAAAAGTGATGCAAAATCTTCATTGTGAGATTATGATTAAGCTACAATGTTTTACAAAAATATGGTGTAAGATGGCAATAATCCCATTCAAAATCCTGCATTAGGCCCCTCGAGAGGGGCTGATAATTTATACAGTCAAAACTTTAAAATTTACATATAAAGGTACCCTATCCACCATTGAAAAGTACAACTCTCAACATATACAGTTTTCAGGCCACAGTTTTGAAGGTCTGGAGTATCAAGTTGGTTTGATGAATTAGTCGGTTGGCACTTATGAACACATTTATTGCCCTGTTAAAAGAGAAAGATACTACTTCAGACATTTTTAGAAACATGTCATTCAATAAATACAGCATTAAATTTGGGCAACTAAATATATTGGCATCTAGCCTCTGCAAATTGGAAGCATATTGATGTTTTACCATATCATGATCTACCTGAAGCTTACCGCTGGCAAAGAGATAGACTTAATTGCAGAACTAATCCTTGAAAGACTACATTTATTGGCAGGAACTTAAAGACTTTGGCTCTCAATCATCATTGACATCTCAATCATTTCATTCTGGGGTTTTAGCTAACTAAGAAAAAAAAGAGTGAAGCAGATGATGATTAAACGCCTGTTCTTTTCAGAGCTGAACATTTCATCCCCAAGTAATTTCAGAATTTGCAACTCTTTCCTCGAGAAATACTAAGCACGCATGCATACGGAACTAACGCACTATTTTAGTTACCTTTCTATTAAGAAAGGGGTGTGGGGTCATCAAGTTTTTCAGCTCAGTAATGACGCCTGTTACATGACTTTTGTTTAGTGCTGTTACTTTCTAGTGGGAGCAGGCTATCTTATTCAACATGCAGTTCAGATTTAAATTACTTCTGATTCCACAAGGATATGAAATACAAGCCTTACCTGGGATTTCTTGCAATACTGGTAATTCCTAATACACTTAAAGCTTATGCCCACAATACACAGCACAGTATTCACTTCACATAGGGCTAAACAAGGCTGCTCTCTTTCAGTATGGTTGGGATACATGCACAACACATCCAACCCTTCCCCCATTTTTTCAAAGTTTTCTACTCAACTGAGACTGTTTAGACTTAGTTCACGTGAAAACTTATCTATACATCTGTTCAGTAATCATAAAGCTACCAAGGTCTAAATTTCTCATTTTGGTACCATAACCAAATTTAGCCCAAATTTCAATAAGAACAGGAAAAATAAAAAAGAATGCTTTGATAGGAGCAAGGTAGTATTCACAGCTGGTCTCAAAACTTCTCTCTCCTTTAGTTACACACCATCCCCTGCGTGCTCTTAGTCTTTGCCAAGCTCAACAAGACCAGACATGAAAGTTAGTTCTCATCTTTAAAACAGCAGCACGTAGAACACTTTGGCACTGTCAAAAGCTGAGGGGGATACAGTCTTCATCCAAAACAGTCACTACAGTGACATATACAAGACTAGTGACTTCAAAACCCAAGGTGAAGACCTGAAAAAAGCCTCAGTTTGAAGGCTAAAATGTTCAAATATAAAAAGATTAATCAGCTGAGTAATTCCAAATACTGCAAAGCACTATAAGAAGCTATAAAGAAAGGACAATAAAAATGCAAATCAAAGAAAATGCTGCACAGATGTTTAGTGTTTGCAAATGATATTTCGAATACATAGATTACTTTTTTCAATAAAGCATTCATAAATTTTTTGTCACTGAAAAAACCACACAAGTCCATGAAATTTAACTTCCCATATTCAAATTCAAAGCTAATACTGCCCATGGGTGTTGTATGGTGGTGCATTTAACAGACTTCCCTTTCCTCGAAAGGATTACAAAAGGAATAAAAGTATTTTAACGCAGCCATGATGGTCTGAGGACGCAGGTGAGGAAAAAATATTAGCAAGTCCTGAAGAAGGTAACTTATGCCCAAAAGCTTGTCTTATTTTCCCCTGCTAGTCAACAAGACATTTCATTATGTAAAATGTTAGTACAAAAACATACTTACTTTCCATCTTTAAAATAGGTTTTCAGAGTATCACTGAAACTTTTGGAGTATTTTACAAACTCTTTCTTTTGGTGCTCAAGTGCCTAAGAAACAAAAATACCAGGAGCAGAGTCTTAGTTCACATATTGTTGGGTACAGTCAGAATCTTGATGTTAAACCGAGAAGATTGTCTAACATTATGTAGGTATAAGAATTTTGATTTTTTTTTTTAGATGACATGCAGAGAAATCACCCTCTTATAAGACTGCTAAGACATACCATATAACAATCCTGTTGATAAAGTATTATGTCATTGACCTGTTAAGCTCTCCTATTCATCCTTTGATCAAAAGGATATGCTTCCTCTTATACTATTAAAAATATTGTATAAAAAGAGTTATTGCACATACCCTCCGGTTCTGGTATTGGTATTTCTTGAAGACATTATTTACTGTGTCGAGAAGTTCCTTTATTGCACTCGCGATGTCCCTATTTGGCAATAAAAAGATAGTTGTAATATCTTCAAGCTATCCTATTTAAATGTTGGAATTTACTCCCCTCCTAGTAGTCAAATACTTCTTAAAACAGTCTCTACAGACTAAATGTCAGACAGCATGTAGCAAAACCAAATGCAAAGAGCTAGACCAGTGATACAGGAATTCAAACTAGGAATCAGCAAGCAAAGTTCGGTCTAGTAACATGGGGCTCCTGTTAAAAATCCTCAACTCTGCTCATTTATAAGCAAGGATCAGGCTCCTTTCCAATGGGAACAGCATTGCTAGCATCTCCTACAGCATTTGAACACTCAGGTTTAAATAAAAGTTTGACCCCTCTATCTGCAAAAAAAACCCCAAAAAACCCCACCCAAGCATAATACAGTACTTACTTGATTGTCTGAAGAAACCTCACTCTGTCATTGATCTCATCAGGAATCTTACTAAGAATCTGTTTAAGTGCTCGTGCCTTTTCATTAAGATCTTGGAATTCTGGTTCTGGTCTTTCAATCATATACTCTAACAAGAAGAACACGTTCAAAAACACCATTAGTTATTCCTCAAGTCTCTAACGACAGCTAAAAACACTAGTTCACAAAATGCAGCAGTATTGACATGTTACATTTGAAGGTGAACAGCACAAAAATAGCCATGACCAGAAAACTGCAGTGAATACACTCTGCATCAGTAGCAACACAGTGCAACAATAATCTTTATTATTGCAAGCTGGAAAAAGAGGCCATCTTACTTTAAGTGAGACACTGAAGACACTACACTAATCAAATGCAGTATTAAAATAACTTAAAGGCTACTGTATGCTCCCCTTCTCTGACAGTATAACTACTGCTTTTAGTTTGAAGCAGAGAAAAGGAAGGTGAGTATTATACTCCATATATGCTTTTTTCTGGTTGTTCGCATTGCAAAAGGTGAACTATGCACCCACATAAACATAGTTCTAAACATTCATTTTCCTTCTTTCTCTAGTTAGTCAAGTATGTTTTTCAGGGAGATTAAACTTCTCTAAAAGAGGCATTCAGAAAATACAAATATTCTTCTACCATGCTGAAAAAATCTATTAAGAAACAAATAACCTCTTCTGAAAACAGAGATAGAGAAATGCATGTTCCTAGTTAACAGTGTAATTAAAAATACACTTATTCAACACAAGATATTACCTTCTACATCATCAGCTGCCATACGCAGAAGAGACTCTGTGAAGTTTACATCCACGCTTTTTTTCTCCAGAATTTTCATAATGATGTCCTGTGTAAGACCTGGATTTTCCTTTTCAGCCTGTACAGCGAAGAAAATTTTTATTCTTCAATATGCAAGACATGGATATCGCAAGCGCACCAAGGCAGATTTTTATGGAACTTGCTTCATATACTGCAGGACTTTGCTAGAAACTTAAAAAGTCTAATGCCTTTTAAACTAGGAGATTACATTGAAAATCATTCTTCCACTACAACATCCATTTTTCTCAGATTACAACAATGATTTTGTATGAACAACTTTTCCAATAAGCCTTTCCAGTCATTTCAATTCGAGTAAGAATTTTTTTTCATTAAATTCTATATTCTGTTCTATTTCCATAAACACTAAGCTTTGAGACAAACATATTGTATCCATTGGGATTTAATTCACTCAAACACAGGTGCTACTCCCCCATCTTCCACATGACATTTTATAAATGTGCCTCTTATGAATCACATCATATGCTCAAACATCATCTTGGAATTGCTTTTTCAGAGAAAAAAAAAAACTTTTGATTGATGAGATATCTAAGTAAAGCTAAGCTAGACCAACAGTGGAGGTATTCACACTACCTGTGCTGCTATGAAAGAATTATGCTGTGTTGAATAGGAATGCGGGTATGTGGTTTTTTTAGCTAGCGCTACCATTTCCATCAGCATCTCAGTTTTTACATTATTTGCATTCAGCTTAGCTCCTTACCACCAGTCGTAAAAACATTTAACTTGTACAAGCTCTAGTTGAGACTTAAGACTGTCTAGGTACACTTAGATTTCAGTGTAGAAACAAGGAAGTATTACTTAGTTGCACAGCCCACACATTAAGATGTCACGTCTACAATTATTTTTGTTTAAAGAATTTCGAAAGATCACCAGCAGTCTAAAGGAATACCTGTATTTTCATTCTTCAGGAATATAATAGAAAAGTTGGAAGAATTTTTTTTCCATTTACTGCTGGATAGAAATACAAACATTGACCTTACCCACAAAAAAATCCCATTACCATTCACTTTGTAAACCATTTTCAAAGTCTGCTACGTGTCTATTTCTCACGAGCACCTATTCTACATAGTCATATTTAGACTAAGTTTATTACCTTATTACCTTCACTGACTGATTCCTCATTTAAGCTTTTGTACTACATGGACAAGACAAGATTCTGCTTACTTAAAACTGCTCAATATGCTTGTATCATTCAGATTTCTACTCATAACATTTGCAGACATTTCAAACTTACAGTCCATGCAATTGTCCACTTTATTTTTAGACTATTGGATCAAGGATGCAGTCTTCAGACACAAAGACACAAGGAAACAAGACAGCTGACTTTTTAGCTTCATCATATATGTTTTACCTTTTAAACAGTTATTCTGCAATACAAGTTACTTCTTACCTTAATAAAAGCTGCTCTCAGTGTCTGAGCTGCAGACAGATTTACTCTTTCTAGCTGCAATAAAAGTTTAGAATTATTAGCAATTCTAATGTTATCTGAACAAAACAAGTCAAGCACTCATGCCTTGCCTTCTATAGCATAATGAAAAAGGGAATTGACAGAAGCATTCAAACTACTGGTCTCATTTGAGGGAGAGAGACTATAAAGTTTAATCCCAAAGGAAAGATTTCCCCCCAAAATAAAGCCATAAAAATCAAACATGTCAGTGGACATTATTTTGCATTTATCCAGCCTACAGCGGAAGTCTGACAGAAGCTTTTGAGAACATCTTGACCACCTCTGGTACTCGCAGAAAAACAGGATCTTATTAAATTACAGCCATTAGCAGTAAAATTAAAATGTATCAAGCTGTTCACAGGTACATGTTCAGCTGTACGTTACTTCCTGCCACAGAATACCAGACCTAGCATTTTTGTGAAAAGCCTCTGTAAAAGGTAAGAAACATCGATCAGGGCCAAGACAACTAGCAATCTTTGATGAGCATGAAATTGTATTTGTGGAAAGAAGGGTAAAACAGGACATGGAAAAAAATCATAGAATCATAGAATCGTTTAGGTTGGAAAAGACCTTTAAGATCATCCAGTCCAACCATTAACCTAACACTACCAAGTCCACCACTAAACCAATTAAGGGGAGAGTAGCAACCACACGCCTCCTGGCTTGGTGGCTGGATCATTTATGAAGATGGTGTTAGACACAAAGCTTTGCCAATCAAGATGAGCAACCTGTTACTGTGACCGTATTTCCCCAATGTCAAGGGGATTATTACATTCTAAAGCCAAACGTGACTTACCTCATTGAAGACAGGGTACATAACAGCATAGAGAGGCATGGAAACCATAGAAGTGGTCTCTGCTTCATTCTTCATCTCTTCCATTGTCATCCTCATTCAAAGACCCACTTCTCAAGGAAAACACTATAGAAGCAAAAAACTCCTCATTCACTGAAATGTTTCTTCTTTTTCCTCGTTGTGCAAGAATACTTGAAGAACTTGAAAAATATATTGTCCTTAGGTTGTGTGAGGAAAAAAAAAACAAACACAATTATGAATGCTCATGACCGACAGGTTCTAAAAATGAAAAGGCACAAAACAACATTAGTTGTTACTGCCTAGAAACTAGGAATTACTTATGACATGAGTTGAGTAAATATGGAATGACCACTTCATTTAACTTCAAAACCCTAAGTGAAATCTGTTAAGTGAACAGGTATTTTAAGAAGTAGGGTACTACATTTAATTCAAGTTCTTACAGAATTAATTTTCCTGAAAGTGGTTTTATTTGATATGTATTACAAAAATCTTGCTACCACTCGTAAGCAGCAGCATAAGGTTCCTTACAACTCACATATATAAAAAGCTCAAAAAACATTACAGCTGTAAACCCCAAACCCATACAGATACATTATGACAATTAACATTAAGACTATCTATAAATACTCCATATTTTTGCATATGCATCAAGCTGTGATTCTGCTGGACATCAGTGCCTACTTTCTACCCATTAGAATTCCAAATACTACATTTTGTTTTCATAAGCAAAAGTCTTAAGTCATGTTTCCACTCAGGGTGTGTCAACAGCTATGTTAACTCAATGGAAAATTATTGTTCCAGTAACTGAACCCAGGTTTTGGAAATTCTCCACCCAGTCCAGCTCATCATATCCAACACAGAGTGATGATTGCTCAGACCCTGAAATTACGTGGAAAAGAAAAAAAGGTCACCCTACAGTTCATAAGAACTCTTTGTTACAGCCCGCTATATTTTCTCTTCATAAGATTCTTTTAAAATATTTTATATAACATAATCGAGTTTAAAGACCTAAAGTCCAAGTTAGGAATAAAGATACACAGAAAGAGATTAACAGTTTTAATTTTCAGATTTCCTTGGAGTATTTAATGGTTTTTTTCCTCCTAACAAGCTTCAGACATTTGTATGTTTGTGTTCTGATTTTACTGATATTTTAGTAAGTGAAAAAAGTAAAATTTTTAAGGGAAGCTACTACAGTAATCAGTATCTTTTCCCAATAGTTCGAACAGGTTAAAAAAATGCCAAGATATTTCTTCAAACTATATTCTTCATTATGCTCTGCACTAGCTAAAAATCTTCAAGCTGTTTGAAATAGAAGAACAGATATTCTTTTTTGCCCAGGGCAGGTACGCAGTAGTTTAGCTATAATTATACAAGTGAAATTTGTTATTGATTACAGTAAGCACAGAGAAGAACTTGGATGACTACAAATATCATGCATGTCTCATCTCAGCATGTGATTAGGCAGTACGAATATACCCCAAAGTGAGAAAACAAGTGAAAAACTGGTCACACTACAGAAACAGCCAACAGTTAAAACGTGATTTGAACCAAAAATTAAACATGAATATAGTAACAAGCAACAGCTCTTGTATACAAGTCTTCTGACACGGACTACTTACTGCAAAATCTCATCTTTGTTTCTCTTACTGTTCCAACCCTTCATCAGGACATACATGAGCAGATTCCTATAGCCACAGAATAGGATTACTGAGACATTAAAAGGGGTCTGTGCAAGTGAGGTATGTCCATGTGGATGGAATTGCAAAGATCAGGACTCTTACATTCTTATCACCTACCCGTAGATATTTTACAGCTGTCAATAACATGGAAGAATACAAGTGAATATGCATCATTCCTCAAAAAGTTGAATATCTTTAAAGAACTTGTTTCAGAGTTACATAAATTCATGTAAGGTCTACTCACATGGGGGGAGGGAACTTGTCTGAACAAGTTTTCACTCGCAACGGCAAGTACAAGCTGTCCCATTTATTATACATGCATATTCCCTGCACTAAAGACGCTGGCATGTAAAGGGCAGAGCGGATGGAGAGCTGTTTATTTTACTGTTTAATTCTACATTTTTGGAAGTTCAGTAAAAATATATATTCATGCAAGATACTACACTAACAAGCACCACTGAAGAGAGCATTTGCAGGTTAATTTACTGCAAGTTTTTAATCTAGAGTACTGTATTCTCAACAGACTAAGTTTTTAAAATGGTTAAATCAGGTCATTGAACATTGTTCTAGTCTACCCAAAAGATTTCTGATCGTAGGAAGAAGGGCAAAAAAGGACAAAATAAGCATTAGATATAATTACTTTGTTTTTATGGGTTAGCAGTATCCACAAAGAAAAGGAAATACTAACTGAAATGATGGATTTTTATGATGATGAAAAACTATTACACTGTGGACTACCACGAAGAACTCATTTTCTCCTGAAGAGCCATAAGCTATTGTTACTAATCTACAGTACAGTTAAACCCCTCATATAAAAACAATTATACACCATCTATTACCTCTTTACCAGACACTGACACTCTTCAAACAAAATACAAAACCTTGGATTTATATTAACACAAAGGATACAAGTGTTGCGACTGGAGACAAGAGGTAGATTTACATACACATGCATGCAAGAAATACATAAGAACATCAAATACTTCTGTTGCCAAGATATGAAAAGAAATATATTCAATGTATCACACTGGTTGTTCATTATTCCAGAACTCTTCCCGTTTTCCAGAAGATACAACGCCAGGAAGTATCATGCAAGTATCTGACTGATAATGTTGCCACGCTATTTGTCTTTGCAGCTAGGGATCAACTTCGTCACATCTTTCAGATATAACTTAGATGCACTGCAGTCCTTGCTACTGTTAAATAGCAGGGATAAAAATCTTCACAAAAACACCCCACATTTTTTTGCATTACAGAAAGACAGTTTGTCATAGCTGCACTAAGCCACATACAAGTATCTTTAAAGAAGGTCTCAACCCTGATTATGGACCAAACCCCCATGAAAACTGAAGCTTCTGTTCTATTATTTAGCTAATTTATTAGAAAGTCCACTAGCTTTCAGAACAGCCTGACTAAAGCCAAAGTTTAATGCACATTATCATGGACCAGCTAGGAGTTTTCAGTATTTCTTTTGGTATGTGATCAAAAGCAGCCATCTGCATAGCTGCCAAGCTTTATGGCAACACTGTCTTCTAAAAGCTTAACTTCAGTTCACTACAATCTCAAAAGAGTCTTTTATTTGAGATGAGTTTACCCTAGTTTCACCTGCCAATTGTTTTTTTTTTACATTCTCAAAAAAAAGGAATAAGATTCCATGGGAAAGGTGATTTATTAGAACAGCACAATGTGGTCGCATGGTTCAGAAAATCCTGGCAAATTGCTGTAAGATGCAAAAAAGGTGTTACTTAGCTGGCAAACTTGTTAATTGGTCTGAGGGGGAAGACAAGGAGATGAGAGTAAGATATGCTGTCTGGAATAGACAGACTGCCAAATATTAATCTGCATGCCAGCCTGATCGTTTTTGTTACAGTGATCCCACAGATTCAAATTTATATATGTGTAATTAGAAGTCATGCTTCATGCTGCATCATCAGATGAAATCATCCAGCTGAGAGAATGTACAGAATGATATAGGGAATGTAAAGAGAATCTAAATTTGAGAACTATGCTAAGATGCCAGCTAATACAATCCTGCTGCTCAGACTGAAGCCACTGAACACATCAAGCTATATTCCAAGAGATAGAATCATATAGTCTATTCTATATTAACATGGAGTACATACTTCTGCTGTCAATACAAATCTTACATTCTAACCTTTAAGTTCTAGCACTAAACTATTATCCCAGCCATTCAGCAAACACTGGCAGAACTGGTACATTTTAGATAAGGAACACATTTGGAAGGATTCTTTGGTAGACCTATTCGTCCCTCTCCATCCAATGACATTTTAAATCATTCAACTGAACTTTTATCAGAAAAAAACTACATTAAGATAAACTTCCTGTAAGCCACAAAAGGTAAACAGAAAAAACCAGCACACTTCCCAAAATGTGTAACTACTGTTATCAGTATCTAAGGTGATCATTTGCTTTCTCTAGTCTGTGTCATTTACTGACAGACTTTTGGTCACGCACTAAAATCAAGGAGCAGAACTGCAGAGCTACTTAGTGAGAATATAACCACGACAGAGTGCAGTAATCTTCCCCAAACACACACCTGCTCACTGACCAGAGCAAAAACAAGCAAGGTATCCATGCAAGCAAGCTGTTTGTTTAACACCATCTTTCGAAACAGTGTTTAAGGAGAGGAGAGTGGAGTCTTATGATTACAACTTGAAGAGTTTTAAAACAACAGAAACATTAGGTATCAGTTGGCAGGATCTCAATCTTCAGTTACATCATCAGTAGATCTACCTATACACTGATGTTGTCTCTGTTCCCTTCTCCAGGCTCCATCCATCTTAGACCTGGAAAACTTTAAGCACCTAGACATTAATATTCTTTTTTAGAAAAGCACTAAAGAGGAACAGGGCCTGAGGCAGTGATCTACCAGAATGATTATTTCAACAGTTGGCTTCTAGCAAAAACTACAGCTCTATTCCTGCTAGAAAAGGCTATCCTAACTGCCAAGAAGTTCTCCTTCACTTTTTGCAGTGAGGATTCAAGAGGAGGTTTTACCTTTAACCTGATCTGAGACCCCTGAGTTACCAGAAAAACTAATTTAAGTTCAGGAAGAAAGAGTGGGGGAAGGGAAATAGCAGCATGAATTCTACCCAGAATTCAGAGCCAAAGAGCTTGGCTCCTATTTGTAAGGCCAATGTGCATGGGAGGAAGGAGTTTAGGTAATTTACTAATTACAGTTGCAAATTTTACAGAAGAAAGAAAAAATGCAGACTATGCTCTTTTAACTACATGCATACCCCCCACACAGCTTGGTAACTAAGTTTCCCTCATTAATGGTCACTTAAAAGAAATTTAAAAAATCCCCCACCCTCCTTTTCCTTGTCAGATAGTAACTAACCTGCCAGCTCTGTGTTTCAATTATAGACTGTGATTATTTCCCATTGTATAACTTTGACTATATGGTACAAAGCTTAAAGGCTTTGTGCTTCAGATACAGAACTACCTTCCTTCTTTTTACAACTGAGGTGACTTCATGACAGTCTCGTTGAATTCATTGGAATT